AATAATAATAATAATAATAATAATAATAATAATAATAATAATAATAATAATAATAATAATAATAATAATAAACAAACACATTGTAAGCCATCAATCTCGTTGAACAAGTTATTAGCATAGCATAGTATTCACTCCTTTTGATTATACCGCGGGGCACATTCGAATAGCAGGCTACGAATACATAATTAAAGTACTTGTTTCAAATCGAAAATACATAATCCCTATGATGATCAAGGTATCCGATGATCTAAAAAATAGTACAACTATGATAAAGTAATCATGGTGGCGCTTTTAGATAAAAAATGAATAGGCCTATATGGTCATGGGATTGGGACATACCTAACTTCACCTTCAATAAAAAAAAATTGTAAAGACTAGTTTCAGAATTAAAAAAAAAAATTAAAATGACAAAAATATAATAAAACAACGACTGGCACAAAGGACGGAGGCTAATGTTTAGTTAAAATACTACTACCAGATAAGAAAGTGTAATATATAATGTATTGAAATACATGCCATCGTGTTGCGATTCACTATTTCCACATTTATTATGTCATCAGATATCAGTACCACTGCAACAAAAAACACCTATTTGGAATGTCAACCTTACCGACCAAGAAGATGTGTATAAGAGACAGCCCTTGGTACAACGTGACTAAACTGTTTTTCATTACTGTATTATATAATTAAATTTTTATAGGATTTCATATTATGTGTATTATTCGAAAACTTCCCTCACTTGTTTCAGATCAGTATACAGTACCAGCTACACTTCAGCTCTGCTCACATCACCCCCATAGTTATGATGTATTTATATATGGTCCTGATGTGATGTTATCATGACCACATTTAGGCATATCACATGTTTTTTAAATACAAATTGACAGTTTGACAGTGATTTACACTGTGAATATGTTGTTTGTGGTCTAGGAACACTGACAACCAGCAGACAGGTTCGTGTGGACGGCCTAAACACAGTACCGGTACCTTACATAAATTATCCAAGCAAAAAAAAAAAAAAATCAAAAAAAAATCAGATATTTAATAGATTTTAATTGTAAAAATACTACTCTAAGTGGCAAGAATGCGTTTTCTGAGCATCTAGGAAAATATTTTCATTGAGCAGGGAAAAATTCACCCATACACTTCCCTCACCCTCTTCAGTCTCAGGAGGAGAAGCTCTCAGAGCATGGAGGTATATTTTTAGGCGTTGATGCTTACTAAACTTGACCAAATAATCAGGATGTTTGCGAGGGTGATGATAAAAATGAATTCTGCAATGGGTAAAATGTTAAATTATATTTATTGTTTATGATTAAAACACTCTAATAATGATGATAGCAACAGCATAATCAATGCCAAGTACCTACCGTATATCAATAGGTTACAGCCAGGAGTTGCTATTTAACAACTCTCTGTTTATAGTATACATGTATAGGCCTACTGGTATAAGGTTATAATATACAGGTATTTCACTATGTACTAATCTGGAGGTGTAGTAGTATCACGGTCACTAACTAAAATTAGAACTACATGATGTACAAAATATACTTTAATGAGTATATAATTAAACATGGTCCTGACGCACCTTCAGTTGCCGAGGCCTTCACTTGTTTTAATTTTACAAACATTCTCTAGTAATTAATATTCTTAATTTACTGTCATATTCTGCTTATTTTACTATTCCAATCTCATTATATTATTACTACGCCGGGCAAAGTGTTATGAACATTAACCAAACGGAAACAGGATACTAGAATTATATAATCACACTAAATAACAACACATACCAGCTGCATAGGTAAAAGAAACGATTCCAAGAGTAGTAAACACCAAACTCCACAGAAATGAAAACATCTTAGGCCCGGAATTAATCGATTGACAGTAGCATGCGGGCGTTGTTGTCCACGGCTCTGAAAATCCAAATATTATTCCCCCAAGTTAGCCTAAGTGGGATCACTGTACTACAGCATTCACCTTGTTCTACCTGTGGAAGTTGGGCCGAGGCGTGGCTATTGTGCGAAGCTGACGAACCGTCTTCTGGTAAACAAAGCATCATTGTTTGACTCATCTTTGACATTATACAGTTCAGAGAATATGGTGGTACCAGAGCGTTACAGCGAATACATATTAACAAAGGTGTGTATCGAATAGTGCACTTTTGCTTTTATTTGCACTCTATTTTACTCGGTGGCAACAAAGTATACAGCCATGAAAAAGTACGTGTGACAAAACATTTCTTAAATTTTTCTGTAAGTTCACTTGACATGCATACATATGCTTTCCAAACTAAAATAATAATAATAATAATAATAATAATAATAATAATAATAATAATAATAATAATAATAATAATAATAATAATAAACAAACACATTGTAAGCCATCAATCTCGTTGAACAAGTTATTAGCATAGCATAGTATTCACTCCTTTTGATTATACCGCGGGGCACATTCGAATAGCAGGCTACGAATACATAATTAAAGTACTTGTTTCAAATCGAAAATACATAATCCCTATGATGATCAAGGTATCCGATGATCTAAAAAATAGTACAACTATGATAAAGTAATCATGGTGGCGCTTTTAGATAAAAAATGAATAGGCCTATATGGTCATGGGATTGGGACATACCTAACTTCACCTTCAATAAAAAAAAATTGTAAAGACTAGTTTCAGAATTAAAAAAAAAAATTAAAATGACAAAAATATAATAAAACAACGACTGGCACAAAGGACGGAGGCTAATGTTTAGTTAAAATACTACTACCAGATAAGAAAGTGTAATATATAATGTATTGAAATACATGCCATCGTGTTGCGATTCACTATTTCCACATTTATTATGTCATCAGATATCAGTACCACTGCAACAAAAAACACCTATTTGGAATGTCAACCTTACCGACCAAGACAGAGCCAGGAACTCGCGCATGTCCCAGAAACACATATTTACGCACGTTTACGCTGTCGATTTGTGGTACTTAGCGACATTAGTGGGTGGGGCTTATTGGCATAGTCAATTCGTTTGTACAGTTTTAATATTTCGCAATTCGATTGAGAAATTTACTTTCATTATAACCAGACACATTAAATGTAGGACTAATGTCAGATATTTCCTCGCTGACCTACAAATCTTCAGAAGAGGACGTGACCCTCGTTCTTGTAATGAAATTTAAAATATGTTTTCTCCTTCACTATTGTTTATCAGTAAACGCATTAACAAAACAGAAATTGTACACACGTCAAAAAATAATCATCATGGAATACAGTACATTTATTATTACAGCAGTAAACATTTACAGGTTTGTACAATAAAAAAAACAAAAAACAAAAAAACATCATATCCATGAAATTAGCAAACTAACCAAGAGATGGCAAAAGAGGGCGCTCGACATGTTAGAGAGGAACTCTAAGAAGCAGTACAGTTCCTATAATAGAGTTATGGCATAATTGATATCTAGAAGGACGTCATACTGGGACCATTGTATGCATGAATGGACGCAATTTGCTCCAGTTTAACGATTGCATAAATAACAGGCAATTGAAAAAAAAATATATTAATAAGAACATGTGTTTGTCAATTGATAGTACTGTAATATTTTAAATTTATAACAAAATTGAATCTCTATAAACTATTATTACATGTAGTTTTTGCTTGACTAAAGCAGTGTAGCGCATACATCATCACATTTGTTCGGTTCTTTAAAGCTCTTATGTACAGGACAACTTAGAAATTCGTACAGTAGGTGTTGTGGCATTATAACTAGGGTCCCATTCCAAGGGTATCTCAAAAATAATTGTGTTGTAAAAGTATGTCTATTTATAACCAAAAAAAATTGTTGTAACTGAAACAGTACTACTACTACCTAGGCGTAGTCTAGTACTACATAGTACTTTAATTGTACTGAGGCCTATTTTAATTCACTGTTTAGATAGGCTCTTCTTTTCCCATCTTGAACTCAAACAGGTCGAAAAAAATTTCCCCCTAGATACGCCACTGATTATCACTAACACTGTGGATTCACACAAACAGTTTTAAACTGTAAAACATGTGCAATTTAGGAACTTCCATATCTGTACCACCATTTGAAGTTTACGCTACATGAACAATATAAAAGAAATGACAGCATCACTTTTAAGACTAACTTTGTATAAAATTTAATTTTTAGCTTTCATCCACACAGTGGACTTCATCACATTTTCCTAATGAAGTCCACTATGTGGACAAAAGCCACAGATTAAATTTTATACAAGTTATAGTCTTAAAAGTGCTGCTGTCATTTCTTTTGCTGAATATAGTTCTATAGCAAACTAACATGGCTACACATTATTCATCAATTAGGCTAAAATGTCACACAATATTCTTGCTGGATGAATCTTTCTTGATATTTCTTTTAAGATTCTTGTTCAGTAATAAAATCACATAAAACAATAAAATAATAACAACCTTGTACTTAAAACACATCTTAAAAATGGTTTATTTTCTAAAAAAAAAAAACACATAATAAACATTATTATTTAATTATCAGTGTAGCAAGCCTACATCCACTTACAGTGTATATATAAGTGTTTTTCCAGTTGGGGGTTCTTGAAAGGGCGCCATTGCAACAGGGCGGGAGGTTTCTCAGTGTTGTCCACCCCCTAAAAAACACTTAAGTATTTACATTTGTAGCAGACGATATTGCTTAGTTTCCATCCACAGCACTCTGAAGATTACTGGGTTTCTTTATAGGCAAGTAAAACAGTCTTAAAACATTTGAAAATCCCTGCTGAAATGTCAAAGTTCACACCAATATCCAGTAAAGTAAGCACTAGCCTCGAAATGACTTCAGAGTTTTCTGAAACAAAAAAAAAGGTCAGTTTCCATACACCATTACTCATTGACACCAAACACACAAGATTTTAGTAAGAATGTAATATTGGGCCCTGGACTTGGGCAGAACCCTTTTAAGAATGAAATAACAAAGACGAAGAGTAAGACTAGAGACCTGCTTAGTGATGGATAAACTGCCTGCAAGCAGATAGTCATGCCATAGAGCAAACCTCTATAACAGAAGTGGACTAAAAAAGTACACCTATAAGAAATCCTATAAAAGTGCTGCTGTCATTTCCTATAAGAAATCAGTTACTGAGTGATGAACCAAAAAAATTAAAATTCATATAATTAAGCTTGTTTAGTTATGATTATACATTCATGAAAGAATTATTATGATTATAAATTCATGAAAGAAATAATATTAAACTGTTAAGTACCTTAATTACTGCATTGATATGCTGGGATGTAATGTTTCTGTCTTTCACAGCAAGTGCTTGAGTATTTGCATCCTTTGCCAGTCTTTTTAAGAACAACATATAATTCAAGAATATCTATTAAAATAAAGAAATTCAAAGATATAACTACGGAGTTGAGAACTTGACAGGACACACTCCTCAAATCTGGTGAGGTAGCACAAATTGTCAAAATACAATTTACAATGTTTGTATTCAATAAGCCGTACAGTAAAGAAAATCAAAGAAAAAGATACAATTGAAGATGATTTACTTTAAAACATCGCTTGTATTGCATACATGTACGCCTACAGTACCTAGAGCCCTACTGTATGTAGGTATGTTAAAGAAAAATTAAATTTGATTGGATGTCCACAATACTGATATCACAAATTCTACCAAGTGTTATAACATTAAAAACGTTTACAAAATTAAATTTGGTTGTATGGTTGATTTTTAATGATTTTTTAAAATATTTAATTAAGGCGAAAATTTTGCTACAGGCGTTATACAAAATTTGTGACCTTTTTACTAATTTGTCAATTCTCATTGTGTATACCTTGAAAAAAAAAAGTTAATTAGGTACTATTATTGCTTTGATCTATACATGCATTATTTGACTAATTTATTATTACTACAGGGGTATTATTATTTTTAATTGTTTAAAAACTATTAATGTAGGCCTATGCAACACCAGGATGCTTGTGCTCTATATTCCTGTCAACAACACATATCATCCAATCAAATTTAAATTCAATGTCAAGTGATCTATACAGACCAATTACAGGCCAGAATTGCCAAATAAGACGCCATATGCAATTTCGTGACGGTAATTCTCAATTATACACGGGTATATTAATCGCAAAATATCATTATAATAAATCAAAATCTTTAAAAATATTCTATTTTATAATACTAAGCAATGATTATATTGGACATATTCATCAGTAATACAGACTTTATGTGTAAATTTAATAACAATTATGCCGTTTGAATCATCCTCCAATGT